GGGCACAGAATAAATTCATCTCATAGCCCAAAACATTGCTCCAAATCCAGCCATTGAAGGCATAATTTTCAGCAAATTATTACATGCCAAAAATCTGCCTGTATTTTCTATAGAACACAATGAGGACTTTGGTTTCCAGAATAATTTAACATAAGATTCAGAATAATCACTAGACAAGTGGATTTCTCTTGCTAAAGAGAAAATTATTGTTCTCCACATTTTTTTTAGAAATAAATCTCCCATGATAATAAGACATATTTCTTTAAAAAAAAAAAAAGAAATGAAAAGGGTGGGAGCAGAAGAGAAGGTTTATGAAGCTCATCTCAGCTAGGGCAGATTCTTGGAGCCAGTGAGCTCTGTGTGGCATGTGGAAAGTTCATGTAAAATGGGCAGCTGTTCCTGGGTGAAATACAAGCATTTGTGTAACCTGTTCCTGGAGACTTCTGTCATCATGAGAGAAGCATGTGCACCTTTGACTTTTTGATCCAGGCTTCCCTGGATTAACAAGATTGGAGGTAGAGACGTGGAGAAAGATTAAGGGCCTGAAGAATACTGGACATTCTGGTCTGTTAATTTGTCAATATTTTGGCTCTGATTTTGTTGCTGTTCCCCAATACAAAAAAAACAGTTGAGCACCTGTGATCTCTTCCAAGAAATTCACTGAACTAGTCTTGTCAACAGAGATCTAGTTTCCACCGTTCTCTACATTTATGTGCTTTATGTGTACTTGCATTTTTAATGGCATTTCAGAGTTTTCAGCAAACTGAGGGGATGTGGCAAATGCTGCCTCCTCCATGAGGTTGTTGGAGCAATAGCAGTCATAACAGCAACAAGTAGGCAATATGTTTCAGAGATGTCTCCTCATTCAGATGCCTCTTCATGCATTGAGGTTGACCACATACAACACAAAAAGGACTTTGACAATGAGCTTGACTTATGTCCACTCGAAGTATACTAAGACCAGAGCATCTTTTTCTCAGTTTCTCCAGATAGCTAAGTTTAGAAATTATTATCAATATGAAGTTGAACTCTTAATATTGTCACGCTACATCTTTATGTTACCTAACTCTTAATAGTTCAGCCTTCAAGCCTACAGCAGTTTCATGTGTACTTTGATTAGGCTTCAGTTCCAAATTTAAAATTTATAAAAGATTCCTAGATAGAGAATTTTTATTTGCCAATAGTCTAAACTGCAACAAACTTCAGAATATTTCCAACTTTTTTGAAGTAAAACTCAAAACAACAACAAAACAATCACATACATACATGTGCGCACACACACACACAGATGAAAGAGGAAGAGGTGTAAGTCCACATACAGCAATGCTCCTTAAGAATTTCTTTTTGTCTTTTTCTTTTTAATTATGAGATAGTGTCTAAATGGGAACAACTTTTACAAGTCACTTCCAAACTATACTAGCAGAAATCAGCATGACTTTTTGTAAAACAGATTTAAAACTTCAGTAGATGTTTAACAATAACTGTTAAGCACTAATGGCTGCATCATTATTTTGAAAGTGAGGAAAACACCTTCTAAATTATACAGATTTGAGTTGAAGTGATCATTTTTCCTACTGATAATTAAATTCAAAAGTAGCTTGGAATCTCATCTTTTATTCACCAAAGGGTTGGAAAACTACATTATAACAACATAAGACAGATCTACAGTGGCACTAAAAACAAATGCCACTCCATAGATAAAAGCATTTCTAACAGATCGGGACAGACAATAAAGAGTGCACATAACAACAGAGGTTTCCTGTTATAGAAATGGCATAAGCACACTTCATTGGCAGACCATTTCTCCTCCAAATATCAGGGAACTGGAGATACCAGTCATTATTTCTTGAAAAACACCCCCTTTCTTTGAGTAGCTAGCCCATTATAATAAGTTGCTTACTGTATCATCTCCATTTTATGGGGTAGCTCCATTTCATTAGTTTCAATTACGACCAGCATACTCAAGTTTCTTATCCTAATGTTATTAAGGCTGCACAGAAGACTCTGTCTTCCATTAACGATCATGTAAAAAATTTAAAATGCAGTTTCCTTAAACAAGTTCATTCAAATAGCAGGATCTGACAATATGTTAAGAAGCATACTTCATACTCTCAGGCTCTGGGTTAAGAAATACATACAGGTCCGCTGAAAAAATAAGACACAAATATAATACATATTTGCATAAACCATACTTTGCACTTGAGAATAGTAGTTATTAAAATATGTAATACACAGTAATGTCCAAACGTCAAAACTATTGTGTACAAAACAGAGGGCACAAATTTCTGAACTACATTCTTTGGCATGTAGTAGGAGATAGAATGTCATAGTTCTGGTCAATAATTTCATAAACAAATACAGCCATGTGAGATGCTTTTTACAAGCTAAAAATGAGAACAATGATGTGAGCAAAGAAAGACATAGATGTGTTGATGGTGGAGAATAAGTATTTAGTTTTGGGAGGACTTCTTAGCTATAAGGACTTTATTATTACTTATTATCATGTAACTCTGCGCTGGATATGACCATGAGGAGGTGAAACTGGCACTTCTATCAAGATTGCAGAAAAATCTTTGTTTCATATCCTCATTCATTAGAGTAAGTTAATATATCAAACATGTACATATATGCATGTGCATATGTATACAATATTTTAAACTTTATTTTTATTGTTGATACTATTACAGATGTCCCCCTTCTCCCCACCTTTGGCTACCTTCACCCCCCACCACTTTCCTTCTGGCCATCACCACACTGTTGTCTGTGTCTATGGGTTATGGACATTATTTTTAAGTGTATTGATGTTCTTCATTTCCTCCAGCAGAGGTCAGAAAATAGCAGTACAGGAATATGAAACATCTATGAACCAAGAGAATGTTTTAGAGTGATTTTCCCTAGATCAGTTTATAGAGGATTTTGTTTCTTTCTTTTTACCCACATTTTCTAATTACATTTTTACAATAAACAGGCTTTACATTTTTTTCTTTATTGATTTACAGAGAGAAAAAGGAAATGGGAGAGAGAGGTAGAAACATTGATGAGAGAGAACATCGATTGGCTGCATCCTGTACATCCCCCACTGAGGATTGGACCCAGAACCTGAGCATGTGCCCTGACCAGGAATCGAACCGGCTACTTCTTGGTGTATGGGTCGATGCTCAACCACTGAGCCACACTGACCAGGAAACTTTTGTAATAATTAAAAAGCAATAACATTTATTTTAAATTTTATAAAGAGCATTATTAGCATATTTACCCTGATTGCATCAAGTCAGAGATACTGCTTAATTGCTTGTATTTTCATACCTGCACCTACAGTATTTGAAATAATCTAAGAAAGCAACACTCTGTAAAAGTATTGTAAGCAATCTTTTTCAAACAAGGAACTTAATGTCAGCCATGAGATTACCAGAAAAACAAACATCCTGAATATAGCTCCTGACTGCCAGGAAACTCTGTACACACAAAGACAAAGTGAGTATAATTTCGAGTCATCTCTTTTGTCTGGAGAAAAGTAAAAGCAATGCCAATGCTCTGGGAAATAATTCTCTATAAGTCTTACATGTTAGGACAAGGAAGGCAGAAGAATTCAGTCAATGTGACCTACATTTAAAAGCAAGGAACCCAATGTGCTGCTGGTTGATATTCAACAAATTGCACTGTCACTATGCTACTTTTTCATTATTAAATGATGTGTCTCTTTTTCTTCTAGACACATATGGAAACAAAGTGAAAAGGCTTATAAAACAAAATCTGAAGTTCAACCAAAACATGTATGTATAAATTAAGGAAATCTTTTACCCTCACTATGCCAAATTAGATCTTTCTTTCCAGTTTTATTAAATGATTCATAATGTATGGTCTGTTATTAATCCTTATTGATATTATCACTCACAGATCATATATGTGTATCGGTGAGTCAAAATTATTATATGAATCATACTGACTTGCTAGTTTATTCTGTCTACTGGTAAGGAATGTGTCTATACTGCTTACTCCCACCTGTGAAGGCAAGTGAGGAAGAGAGGAAAGACTAAAATTCAAAACCTCTGTGAGTTCTGTGGGACTCCCGGAGAAGGTGCCAGAGTAAGTGAATTTCAGCTTGTCAGAGAACATAAGTGACTTTTTGCACCAAAACAATGATGATGAAAAACAAGGATCAGGGAGATATATGAAGAGTCTGAAGATCAGCAACATGGTGGAAGACTGGAATCCATAGATAAATGTGGCCAGTGAAAAATCCCCAGGGGCAAATAAGTCTAAAAGCTTATTAGAATTAGAATGTCTAACATTCAATTCTAAGTTGTTTGAGTTTCTGAGGGAAATCACAACAAAAAGGTGAATTTCAACCCAGGCTGGCATAGAGCAAAAGGAAGAGTCACAGGCCATGAGATATGGATGACCATAGGTGTCATGGAGGCAGGAACCATAACTCACAAATGAACATGAGATTTTGAGACCCAGTAAACACACAGAACTCTTGAAATCAATGGAGCGTTTCCACAAAAAGAAATGGTGTTTTGGACTTGAGCCACTTTCATGTAAATCTCCAAAGAAAACTAACTTGAGCTGTTAAATCAGACAGAGTGATAAAATTTCAAAATACTGCATTAGACATATTGTAAATACTTTTTATAATGTGAAGTCTAGGGCAGTATTTGTAAAACTGTACACAAGTTTTTGTACCATATAAAAGAGCCCAAAGTATTTAATAAATTAATCACAAATGTTTTTTCTCTATTGCTTTTATTACATTTTTTACCAAACGGGCCATACTACTTCATTAGTTACCTTCCTGAACATGTTGAAAATTCTCACTTAATTCCACTTTGATACCAGTGAAAAATTCTCAGAGTTGTTGAAATACACTTATAAACTACGTAATACTTTTGCATACATTCAGGGTTGCAAAAGTTTCTCTGAGAGAACTATCTAGAATTCATATATGGAAAGACTCATAGAGGAGCCTTCAAGTCCTTCAAAGGTGGGCGCAGGCTTACCTTTACGTAGTGAATCTCATATTCCACGTCATTCACTTTGTAAGTCTCCAATCCTAGCTCCTTGGCTAATCGTAAGACATGATTCTGGGTTGGCCCAACATAGGATCCTCCAAGGTCTACATATTTAACCATTTGATTCTGTTTTCCCATGGAAAAAAATAAAATTAAATAGCTGTGAAACTGTTATTACTAAGATAAAAAGACAAATTAGCATTTCATAGGTTATAAGCACATCTTGTGTATCCATAAAAATTTGTTCTCAACTTCATTTATGTAATTTAAGTTATTAAATCATTTCTTAATTTAAAGCAAAACTGATTGAACTTTGTATAGGCAAGAGACTTCTGAACCCCATCATTCACAATGTACCACAACACAGTTTTGTTTTCAGTGCCTTGAGTTTATGATCTCTGAATTGTTAGCGAATTCTTTATACCCAGTATTTGTGCTTAATTTTGAGGCACCTAATGCTACAGGAAACACTAGAAAGAAAATAATCACTTCTTATGTAGTTTGCCAATCCAGATGCTTGAAAGACAGCATCAGGAAATATCTGGTTATAATTTAAATCTTTGAAGTTGCCCTTATGTTTAATAGCAAATTTCCTATATGGTTTTGAATCAGCTTCACATCCAATGACTAAGGACCAAACTTTGAACAAGAAGTGAGTAGAAAACTTCCCTGTGTCTGAACATGTCCAAGCATAACGGGGTACCTGTTAGTCAGGGACATCAGAGAAGGCCTTCTTTTTCTGTTTTTGTTTGTTTGTTTGTTTTTATTGGTTGGCTCTCCTCCCCCCAAAAAGAACATACATTTCACAAAGGTAGGAATCTTTGTTTTATTCACTGATGTATTCCAAACACCTATTCATTGGTGCAATACTTTACTGGGCAAGTGCCAAGTGTCATGAGGTGAAAAGAGAAAAGGTACAGAAGAAAGAGTTGAAAAAAACAAATTGGGAGAGAGGCTGTGGGAAATGTTTAATTTTCATTCTCTTAGAAACAGTCAAATAAAATTCAAGACATTCAGCAAGAAAAAGAAACAAATAATACTCAGCTTCAATCCCATGTTTCTCCACCCCATCCGTAATATCTTACCCTAACAGTGTAAGTCCTGCCTCCCACACGGTCCCGGGCTTCCAGAACAACCACATTCAGGCCAGAATCATTCAGAAGTTTGGCTGCTGCCATACCTGGGAGAAAATATAATAAGAAATCAGAATCAAACATTCTATAGGGACTCCAGATAAGCTCTTCATGATAACAGCCAATGAGAAAAGTCCATGGCAGCTCATACACAGCCTACTGTTACATTTAACTTACTAGGGTTTCTCAACAGAGACTCAAATTCCAAGTCAGAAAACCAACTGCTTTTTGTAGAAAAACAAAACAAAAGTTTTTGGTCACTATATAAAAATGTCTATCTTTAAAGAATAAATTGTATGATTATATATCAGACAACACAGATAAAAACACAAGACTCCTGGCCCTGGCCTTTTTGGTTGGTTATAGCATCATCCCAAGTCCCAAAGAGTCATGGGTTTGATTTTGGGTCAGGGTACATACTTAGGTTCCAGGTTTGGTATGAGAGGTAACAGATCAATATTTCTCTCTCACATCAATGTTGTTGTTGTTTTCTCCTCTCTCTCCCTCTCCCGTCCTCTCTCTAGAATCAATGAAAAACACATCCTCAGGTGAGGATTACAACACACACACACACACACAAGAGAAATGTATAAGTCCCAGCAGACTCAGGATCAAATGTAACCACTGACTTTTTTTCCAAGGTAAATCTGAAAAACCAATAACTTGTGGAGAGAGTGAACCTTCAAAGCATGTGAAAAGACCTAGGATTTATAGTGAAATTAGATAGAGGTTAATGTAAAGTTTCAAAACCAAGGACATAAAATTTGACCCCATTATGAGTCGTAATTAATTCCCCATGTGATGCATCACTGAAGAATTAAATGACTCAATTCATGCATTCGTTTTATTAACATAGTAAAAAATACTTAATGAGTGCCTACTATGGTAAGGTCTGCGGGCTTCAGGGAGTCGCATGACAGGGAAAATGAACTGCCAGAGGAGAAATCAAAACCTAACTTGGGAGGCTCCGCCTTAGCAGGAGGCTGAGGCAACACTCCTGGTTACATCCCACCACCCTTCCCAGCCAATCAACATACGCCACACCCGAATTTCCCCAGCAGCTAGCCAGTCACCTGATGCCATACCTAATCACTCTACCCAGGTCCCTAACTTCCCTATAAATGTTCTCCTGGTGAAAGTAGCAGCTCGACTTCCCTGGCCCCTGCCACCTGAACCAGTGAACCTCAGCGGGGAAATGCTTCAATAAAATTTTCTTGCCTGCTTTTGCAGCTCTGTTTCTCTTTCTTCCTCAGGGAGATACCTTACAATTACATTCTTACCATCATAAATGTGGCTTAAAAAAAAAAAAAAAAAAAAAAAAGCTCCATTGAGATAAAATTACATACAATAAACTTTACCCAATGAGGTTTTTATATTTTATGTATGTATGTATGTATGTATGTATTTTTCAATTACAAGTGTTGGTGAGGATGTGGAGAAAAGGGAACCCTCGTGCAAATTGGTGAAGCCACTATGGAAATCGATATGGAGTTTCCTCAAAAAATTAAAAATAGAACTACCATATGATCCAGTAATTCCACTTCTGAGTGTTGATCTGAAGAAACCTAAAACACTAATTCAAAAAGATATGTGCACCCCTATTCACTGCATTGTTATTTACAATAGCAAATATATGGAAGCAACCTAAGTGCCCATCAATAGGCAGGTGAATTAAGGAGATGTGGTACATATATATCAAATATGTTTTGACAATGTACAAGTCCATCTTGGATGTAGTTTTCTTTTTTTTTTTAATCTCAGAGGTCTTAAAATTGTGCAACTTTAAAACCACTCTTACAGAATTTAGTAAGTTTTCTCAGACAACAGAACTCTGATGTTCTGAATAATGAGTTGAATTTGCTCAGTTCCAGTTACCTTACTCATTTGCTTTTATGAGACCAAACAAAATCAAGGAAATGTTAAGACACTGTGCCTTACAGATAAATGAAACAGGTTCAAACCCATTTTTCAAAAATATTAGTTCTGGGACTTTTATACCCCACTAATGCAAAAAATTCTATTAAAATAGCCATATAGTGCTAATTACATTTGCAAAGCTTTTCTAAAGTTTTTAATATATTAATTCAATGATTTCTCACAGCAACCCAAGAATTAAAGGTGCTATTTCTATTCCCATTTTACGGCTGAAGAAGTTGAAAGACAATGAGGTGTCCAAAGTCACTTAGGAGCCAGCAGGCAAAGCTAGGCCATCCTCTTTGTAGATGGAATCTTTCTATTTTTGCTTCAGGGAGAAATTACATTTCAAAAGATATTTTCCACTTTATTTGGATCAATGTGTTTTTAAGACACACTTGTATCTTCTTGTTTGATAAGAATCTGTGAAATATAATATATGAGCCCACCATAACATGCATAAAGAAAAGCTAAGGCTTTATTCGCTGTGTATTGGTTAATCTAAAAGAAGAATCCTATTTTATGAAGAGACTGATTTGATACTTCATGATTTGAGATTTGAGTTCAATCATCTTCTGATCCCTGTCCTTGACGCAGGCCCAGAGCTTTTCAGTTGGTGGCAGGATAAGGGTTCCAAAGTCCACAGTCCTCCCCATGCAGAGTGCACCGGCATTGCACAACTCTAATTTAGGAATACAGGGTTTATATTTTTAACTCCAGTTTCCTAATTTCACCTCCATAAATGGAAAAACAGAGAAAAATATTTCTATTTAAATCCAAAATTGCAGACTATTCAGTGTCATTTTCTCTTATCAAGCATCAGTTCAACAAATAAAATATGAAATAAGATGCAACCATGGTAACTGCTATTATCAGGGAATTCTGAGAGACCTGCTGTGCATGCTGAGACTTAAACAAAAGGGTTCAGAATAAAATACAACATTACACATATGCACAACCATTTTGTATTCCACAAATGGCACTGTCTTTTAGTAAGTTCAATCACCCAGTAGTATGTGATACTAAACATAAACAGTTATTAGAACAGGTTGGGGTCTTATCAAACTATTGAATAGAGTGTTCATGTGGCTTAAAAAATCACAAATAGAAAAGTACAAAAATGTCTTTAAATAGAGCAATACAAGAGTAAGTTGTTGGGAATTTCTCACAATTTGTCACACTAATGTTCATAGGGGGCTATTCAAAATGCTTGTTGAGTATCAACAGACAAAAACTGGTTGAAAAAATAATTGGCCCAAATATCAGTGGCTTAGGGAAGTCACCGCAGTTCAGGAGGAGAGAATTTTAGAACATCTAAGAACCTGAGGGGTTAAAGTGTAGTCAGGAGAGATGATTAACATTAAGAAGTAGCTCTCAGGGGATTCCTGGGTGATGACTGATGAAAGAATTAATGGTTTGGCTGATGGAAGAATAATCAAACAATAAGCTGTACAAAGCCACCCTGATTTACAACAAGGCTGTTCCTGAGTTCATTTATTTGTTGAATGTTTGTAATTTTTAATACATTGTGCCATAGAATAAAACTATGAGAGATGGTTCATTCTCTGAAATGTCTGGGAATTTGAAATGCAATATAACTGCCAAAAAAATCATAAAGTAGCAAAAGTACATTTGCCCTAAAACACCAAACAATGTAATTTGCACTATATAAACATTTAAGCAATAACTTCCTGCCACAATGCAATAAGTTTAAAAAATATACATCTACAATAATAACAGCCATTGTCCAAAAACATTGAGCACTTGATTTACTCTGTGTGAAGTGCTTTACACACAAAGCACTTCTGATCTTCACCACGATGTTGAGAGTTATTACAATCCTTATTTTTTTTAAAAATGAAGGATTAGAGACATTCATTGACTTGCCATAGATTATACAATTAGTAAATGGCAAGGCCTCAAAGCCACCACCTGGTACCAAAAAGGAAAAATTAAAAATACAGTAATTCAATACACTGATTGATGTAAAGTGCCTTAAAACATTCTGCTCTCCATCTAAATATAAAAATGTTTTAATTATCAGTTTTTCTCTGAAATTAATATTTAACTTGTGCAACCAATTTAGGATCAAGCTTATAGTCACTCTGTACTTTTAAAAAGCTAGTTGAACTTCAACTTAAATGGCAGGATCAGTTAATATTTCACAAACAGATTCTCATTTGCTGCTTTAAGAAGCAACCCCTATGTGCCCCTGACATGCTTCTGATAAGATCATCTACCTCATTTGTTGCTTCAAAACTGTGCAGTGTCCATACGATTTTAGCTGAAAAAGTCTCCCTTGTATGAATAATCATTGTATGGCACACAGATATAACAGTAGATTAATGCCTACCTCTTCCTGAGCAGTTTACTTGGAAAAAAATTTATCAAAGTATCTCAATTATTTGGATACCTAAATTTGGATTAGACACCCAAATTATTTTAAAGATTGGTAATCGTGGTGTGTAAATTCTTAGTCTTCCATGCTTCCAGTCTTGTGCCATGGAAAACGGCCCAAGAGTTAGCCACTGTAAGAGACTGGAAAGTAAACACTGCAGGTAACAAAGTGCCTCTTGAAGGTGTCTTTAGAGAAGTAGAGGTAAGATTTAGAGGGAAGGGGAAAAAAATCAAAAGTACCATCTGCCTCATTCTTTGCTTTGTTAATCTGTTGAATGTTTTTGATATCAAAATCTGATATTTAACAAAATGTTTTAAAATGCAGTTAATTGTCTTGAAAACATGAAACAGCTGTACTTTGATACTATATAAAGGACTTCTCAATTAAAAAAAACATGTTAACTAAAATTAATAATGAAATTCACTGTACCTCAAAGCATCTCTAATTTATAACCCTGGTAAACAATGTAGCCATTCCCTAAGAAAAAAAGAAAAAAACAGCCAAAATATGTAAATAGCCCTCATCTGCTTCTGGTCACTTCTGACAAAGCAATAATTTTATGAGGTAACTCTAGAAACAACAAATTTACCTTCTGATCAAAGAACTGGAATTCTTTGAGGTTTCAAAAGAAAATGGTTTTTAGTTATTTAACACAAATATATGCCAAAAAAAAAAGCCTGGGGTAAAAAAGAAAATGATCCTCAATATAAAATTTAATTCATTAAAGGAAAGTGG